CCCCAGGGCATCCCCTGAGCATCCCCCGGGATCCCCTGAGCATCCCCCCGGAGCATCACCCCCAGCATCCTCTGCTCACCCCCCGGGCATCCCCCCAGCATCCCCAGGGTATCCCCCCCAGCATCCCCTGCCGTGCTGCCCCTTCCCCGCTCCGTGCACTGCTGTGACCCCTGTGAGCTGCCGCCGGTAGCCCTGGGGAAGGGTCTGACTGTTCCTCACCTCTCCCTCCACGGACTGGGCAGAGCAAGGGGTGTGGGGCTGCCTGCTGGTACCCGGGACTGGCTTGAACGTGAACATCCCGCTCAGTCCACTAGGTGCTGTACGAACCTAGAGGAAGAATCGCTCCCTCCTGTTACCCTCAGTAATTGTGTGACATGGTGTAAATCCAAAGCGTTTGTGTTTGAACCCTGCAGTATCGCAGTAGGTGGTGCCTGAAGATTTTGAAGAGCTCAGACTTCCCCAGTTCCTGCAAGGAATTTAAGTATCATCAGCTGTGAGGATGAGACAAGGGGTAAGTGACACCCAGAGGCACAGCCAGGGGAGTGGCTGTGATGACCACAGTGACCACACGACTTCACTGCTGGGTTTGGTTTGGTTTGGTTTTTCAAATGCAAAGCCTTACTCTGGTCCAGGAGTTTTTGTTCAGGCTCAAAATGTCATGTCATACTTCTGACAAAGCAGAGAAACTCTGCACTCTTGTCCTTGGGTTTATGGGGCTCGATGTAGCAGATGAGAGAAACTCCCTTTCCCTCCAGGGACACTGGCTGCCTTAAATTGTCCTTCTGCTGGGAAATGTTGAACCCCAAACCACTGTCACCATCAAACCCAACAGGTGGTTGGAGAGAGCACGATTCTCTGAGCAGTGTCTGCCCCTGCTTGGGGCAGCACAGTGACATTTCTGCTCCTCTCACGCTGCCTTTTCTTCCCCATCACAGAATGTGTGGCTCCTGTGACCACCTAGGGAACACCAGGCATTTGGGAGTGGCCCTGGAAGCCTGAAAAGCCTCAGCATTCCTTGAGCTCAGCCTGACCCTGGGAAGTCACAGTGAGGACAGAGCTCATGCTCCTCAGCAGCAGCATCTGGACCCCGTGGCCGGGCCAAAACTGTTTCTCCCGAAGTGAAAACCTGTATCCAGCTGGATGCCTGCTGGGCTTGACTGAAACGAGCTGCTGAGCTCAGGCTCAGTCCTTGCCCAGGTCAGGGATCTGTTTGTCCCTTGAGGGATCTGCTACACATGGCAGTGTCTGACCTGTCATGTCATGGTTGTCCTGAAAGGCTTGGTGAGTCCAGGTCCTGCACGGACACTGGATGGAATCCACAGCTCTTGGAGGTGTTTTGTTCGTGTTGTGTAGTCACCAGAGGACAGTTGTAACCCTGGGCTGAGTTCCCAGCTCCTGCTTGTTGGCTGACCTTGGGCAAATGGTTCTTTCTCTGTGTGCTCAAACTGCACATCTGCTGGTTTCATACAGCAGTTGAGTGCTCGTAGGGATTTGCAAAACTATGGGAACAGAATTGCAAAGTAAAGCTTGAAAAAGACATTGACCTTGACTTGCAGTCTGCTTCACTGAGGCCAGAGTCAGGTCTCCATCTCCTTGCAGTGGCTTCTCTGGGGTGACAGCCCTGTTGACGTGCATTTTGCAGAAATGCCTTGGATTGACAAGGCACTGGCATCTGTAACAGGCATCTACAAAGCCTCTAGTCATGGAGCATCCCACCAGGTTGCACCTTTCCCCTTAGCACTGCTCTGCAAGGGAGGACATTCCTGTTGCCCCCGCTTAGATGGGAAACCAAGGACTAGAACATGCCAGGAACTGCCCCAAGGCTGCCCAGGAAATCTGCAGCAGAGCAGGAAACC